CCAAACACTTGACACTTACTAGCTGTCTGACTCTGGGCAAGTCACTTAACCCCAACTGCCTTTAAAAAAAAAAAAAAGAAAAAGAAATATGCTTTACATGACTTCATATGAAAATGGGTATCACATTTCTTGCCTTCTCAGTTGGTTAGAGGAGAGGATGGAAAGAGGGAGAGAATTTGAAACTGAAAATAATTTTTTTTATTTTTAAAAAACAAAAAAACTAGGGCCCTTCCCAACTTCCCAGAGGAAGGAGACCAAGACAAGAGAGGATATATCTGGAATCATGTAATGCAGCATTAGCTGAAGGAACTGAGAATAAATGTCTGGTGGAAGAGAAGACCTAAAAGGTATACAAAAGCTGACTTCAAAAATCTGGAGGGCTGTCATGTAAAAAAAAGGATTAAGTTACATTTTGCTTAGCTCCAAAGGGGCAAGACTTGACAACTTGGAAAAAAATTTCAGAAATTCTGTAGAGGTCATTGGTTCGTATCAAATGAGGCAGGGAGGTGGCACAGCGGATAGAGCGCTAAACCTGGAGTCAGGAAGACCCGAGTCCAAATTCAGCCTCAGATACTAGCTGTGGGACCCTGGACAAGTCATTTAACTTCTTTGCCTCAGTTTCCTCAGCTGTAAAACAGGGATAATAATATCTACCTCCAAGGGTTGTTATAAGGATCAAATGACAACAGGGTTTTAAGTAAACCTTTGTAAATCTTAAAATGCTACATAAAAGCTAGCTATTATTATTGAGAGCTGGAAGGGACTTCAGAAGTTATTGGGTCCAACCCCTTCATTTTATAGATGAAGAAACTGAGGTTAAGTGACTTGCCCAGGGTCACACACAAAAGCTATAGTATGTGAATCAGGATTTGAACCCAGGTCTTCCTGATTCCAAGTCTAAGAACGTTATCGACTAGGCCATACTGGTGATTCCAGCTAAGGCACCAAGTGGATCAGAGGCCCACTGAGACTGAACGGTTCTCTAGTTCTTGGCCACTGAGGAACGCGGAGATGGCCGTGCATCCTGCAGGAAGTTTTAGGAAAGCAGACACAGGCGAATTCATACCTGAGCTTGGTCAGGATAAGAAGCCTTTTTCAGCCAGGCACGCAGCCCCTTAGAGAGGAACAACCGGGGCGGGGCTCACAGGGAGCTGCTAGTTTCCTGCACGTTATCTGTACGGCTATGAAACACCGGAGGGAGCTGATGCTTCAGCAAGGGAGCAGAGACACCCCCAGGAGCTGGCTAACCACCCTCTTTGAGGGAAAATACACCAATATAAATGAAGATGTTGGCACGAGTGCATTGTAGGGACGGGACACAGGGGTTGAGGGAAACAAAAGTAGAAAAATCAAGGCAATACAGGAAGGGGACAAGCATTTATTAAGTACCTACTATGTGCTAGGCACTGTGTTAAGCACTTTACAAATATTACATCATTTGATCCTCACAACAACCCTGGGAGGTGGTGCTGTTATTATCCCTATTTTATGGTAGAAGACTGCAATGAAGTGACCTGCCCAGGGTCACACAGCTAAGGAGTGTCTGAGGCTGGATGTGAATTCAGGTCTTCATGACTCCAGGCCCAGCACTCTATCCACTGTGCTAACTGGCTCTCTTTATAGGAGAAAGAAACAGGTATTTCAAAAAGAGGCAAAGGCTCAGTAGAGCTGGCCAAATTGGCAGAATAGTGAAGCTTACCTTTCCTCCCACCTCCCCTGTGAACTACTCTGTGCCTCCCAGTGTCTCCCTATGTCCCATTCTACAAAGTTCTGGTTCCTAATGATGTCAGCTGACAACTAAGGGCAAAGGCTTAGGAAGTGATTCCTCCTAGGTATACACTTCAGAGCAACTGGGTCATGGTGGGCTTTCTGATGCTAGGCTATCAATCAACCAACCAATAAACATTTATTAAGTGACTATCTATGTACTAGGCACTGGGATACAAAAGTCAGGATCTACCCTCAAGGAGCTTACGGGGGAGGGGTAGGGTGGGGAAGCGGACAGCATGCAAACAAATATCAAACAAAGCAAGCTATACACAGGATACATAAAGAAAAAATAAAATTAAAAGAGGGAAGGCACTGAAATTAAGTGGAGCTGGGGAAGGCTTCCCACAGAAGGTGGGATTTTAGTTGGGACTTATAGGAAGGCACTGAATTGAGTCTGTGTGGAGGAGGTAACATGCTTAGACCTGCATTTCAGGTAAATCACTTTAGTGGGTGAATGTAGGATGGACTGGAGAGAGGAGAAACTTCAGGCAGGTAGACACACCAGCAGCTTATTGCCATGATCCAGGAGTGAGGTGAAACCTGTACTAGAGTGGTAGCAGTGTCAGAGGAGAGAAGAGGATGTATTCAAAAGAGGATGCAGAGGTGAAATCAGCAGGTCTTAACAACAACATGGCTTAGAGGGGGCAGGGCATTAAGAAAAAGGAGTCCAAGATGACTCCCAGGTTGTGGGCCTGAGGGACTGGGGGAATGGTGATGCCCTCCCTCTACAGTAATAAGGAAGGGGGAGGGTTTAGAGGAAAAGATAGAGTTCTGTTTTGGATATACTGAGTTTAAGATGTCTATTAGAAATGTCAAAGGGGTGGGGGGAAGGTGCATAATAATGCTCAGGTGCCTCCAAAATCAGCCACCCTTCCACTGTCCAAAGACAACCAATCTGCCTATGATCTGAGGTTCCCCTTTCAGTAAGAAATCAAAAGGCCTTCAAGATCCAAAGGCATAAATCTCCATTGGTGGAGACATGGTGATACATGAAGGGGAAATATTTGGGGACTGTGTCCTGATATTCATATTTGAATCACCTCACTTATGTAAAAACTAACCCTGATTCCCACACTGTGCCAGAGGGACCTACGGGGTGGGTACCTGGTTGGCATGGTAAGCGCTAAGCCAGTGTTCAATGTGGGTGGCATACCAGCCAGGAACAAGGCAGCGATTCTGAAGTGCCCGCAGCTTTGGGGAGGCATTAGGCCCTGCCGTGATCACTTCATGGAAGGTGTACTTCAGGGCAACTGGGTCATCATGGGCTCTCTGATGCTGGTGGGTAGCAAGAGACTCAGATTAGCAATGCCCACTCTTCCTACCCAGGACCTGGAACACCCCCCACCAGCTGTGACAAAAACAAAGCCAACCACTACTTCCTCCTGGTGAGAGATCCCATTCTAATCAAGAGGCACAGAGGGTGAAGAGGAGGCAGGAAGTCTTCCTTCCTACTCTTTATAAACCCTAGGCGGAAAGCAGCCTCGAGAAATAACATTGCTCCCCACTATACAAAATAACTCAAAAAAGAAGCAGCGGCCAAACCCTCAGAGAAGTGCCTTCCCATCACCCTTCCCAAGGAGTTGGCAACCCCTGGTGCATGGCTCACCTGATACCAAGAATAGGCTCGGTCGGCCGGGTCTATGAGGATGGTGAGGATTTTGGCTTTGGGCAACAACGCCGCTGCCCGCTGCGGGGCCACCTCAGAGTCAAAGTAGTTGGCGCTTTTCTCAAAGTAGAAGTCAGAGGTGGTGTTGGAGGGGATAGGGAAGAACTCCATGTACCTGTTCAGGGCCCAGAGAGAGAGACGCAAGCCGGACAGGAAGAATAAGAGCACAACCAGAAGAACTGGGTCCCAATGGCAGCACCATGAGGGCCGGAGGTTGGCTCTAGGGTTTTCCTGAGAATGAGAGCTGGGAGACATTTTCTCTTCCAGAGATGAGCTGAGAGCTTGATGGGAATTTCACCATCTCCGCTTCCCAATCCATTCCTTTTGAGGGAAGGCTGGAGTGGTGGGATTGTAAGAATTTTATATGGTCAAGGTATCCCACCTCTGGCCTGGGGCAAGGAAGTCAGAACTCAGGGGAGGATCCCCACCTCTGGCCTGGAGGCAGTTCAGAGACAGGCCAAGTAGGAAATGATTAAGAAGTTAAGAAACTTCATTGGATAAGACCTGGCTGGGCCACATCAAAGACCTGAAGTCAGCTCTCAGCTGTGTCACTGACTGTTTACTCTGACTTCTCTTGCCATGGAGGTTCCCATTACTCTCCTCACATGATGGTCCTAGGGATACTAACCAAATAAAATACTTGAGAGGCCTCAGAAATAAGTACTCGGGGAAAGAATATTTTTGCTCAATTACTACACTGGCCCAAGAATGCATTTCAGACATCACTGCTTCTCTTGCTATTATGGTTTCAGCCCTTAAGACCCAGGTATTACCACCTCGGCCTCTGGGGGATAGGGCCCCGTCTCTGTGCAGCTTGCCTGAACTCTGCCCCCTTTTTGTCTATAACAGGAACCCCATCAGTGCGTAAACAGCTTCCAGATGCTTCCTGATACCACCTCAGAGCTTCCGATCTGACATCCCAAGCTGGCCAACAAGGATGGAAAGCCCCACTCACCAGTCTATGCCTTTGTGGTAGTTTTGACCATTGAAAAACTGGATCTCCTCAAAGGTCTCTGGGCTTGGGTAATTACTGCTCAGGTCAGGGTGCATTCCCAGGAATAGATAAAGGGCTGTGGTGCCTGCAGGATAGAGGAGACGGGGTAGTCCTTGGACCTCCGCAGTAGCATACAGAAGGGAGGACACCATACTAGGGAGAAGACTAGGTGTTAAGGGACCAATGTTCTTGTTCCCACTCTGCCATTAACTAGCAGTATGATCTGGACCAAATCACATCTCTCTAGATCTCAGTTTCCTCATACTAGATCATGGGTCTCTTATTTTTTTTTTTTTGTATCATGGCTTTGGACCCCAGGTTAAGTACCCCTAAATGCCTAAATGCTCTCTAGTTTCTTACTACATGTCTATATGCTCATTCTCATGGCTACACACAGAGGTCTGGCTCTAGGGAATCACGTTGAAGTGAAAGTTCCCAGAATTTGAGAAGAAACAGTACATTGAGAACACCTCTAGGCAGTCAGTCACTTAAGAGGGCACCAAGGACTCCCAAAGGTTTCTTCCCAGAGCAAAGCTCCTCCCTTTTACACCAAGATACCCCTGGGGGATAAGAAGGAGACTTCCCAGCAATCATCCAGTCTCAAAAATCTTCAGTGGTTCCAGCTGTGTCCCAAGTAAAGCTCAAGCGTCTCCCCTTGGTGTTTAAGGGTCTCTGCAATCTGGCACACTATATTTTCCCAGTCTTATTTCACATGATTGCCTTCCATAAACTCTACAGCCCAGAGAAAACGTCCCCTGAACAAGCCAAGTGATTTCCTGCTTTGGTGGCGAGACTCGCACAGTGCCCTCGATCTGTAGGACTTTGCATCTCCCTCTTTGCCTTTTAAGGCTACAAGGACTGGGGATTTGAGCAAACTTCAAAGGTGTATCAATCGGCAGAGTGCATTTTTTTTTTTAACCCATAAGGAAAATGAGAGGTAGGATGATGGAAATTTTTATTTCAAGTAAAATATTTTTGTCTCAATAAACACGTCTGATTGGTTCTTTTACGACTTTCTCCAGAATGCCTTTCCTGATCCTTCTGCTGGGTAAAAACCTTCTTCCTTGGGTCTCCCATAGCACATTGTACTTGTCTGATGCACCTGTCATGTAATATTGCATGTTGTAGTTGTCTGCATTTGTCTTTTTCCCCTCTGAGATGGTAATCCCAATGACGGCAGGCACCCTCTCTCCCAGTGCTTAGCTGAGTGCTCGGTACACAGTGGCTTGAATTGTTACTCAGGTTGGGCAGTGCATGTAGATTCAGTCAACAAACTGTGATTCAGAGAAGTCCTATAGCCTCTCATGACTGTCCCAGGTACACAGGGAGCATCATGGAAGCCAAGCCATTAAGGCTTCAGGGGCACAGAGAGATGCATACCTGTTTTTTGGGGTCCAATGATTAAGAGTTTGGGGAACCGGTCACACGTTTTCTCCTTTGACCAGATGTCTTTGTGCCGCTTGTCTTCACAAGGATCCTTAAAAGCAAGGGGACAAACATGATGGAGTGGGGCAAACTATGTCTTTTGTTCCACCTACACCAAGGGTTTGTAACTATGCCAATGGTAATTTTTCATCTTTTTGGGTATCACGGACCCCTTTGGGAGTCTGATGAAGTCCATCTAGCCCTTCTCAAGTAATGCTTTTAAATGCATAAAATACATAAGCTTGTAATAGAAACCAATTACATTGAAAGTTTTACATTATATAAAATATATGACTTTCAAAATAATGAATATATTATGTATACATATATACATATATGTATTCTGATGAAACCTATGTGCCCCTTCACAGAATAATGCTTTTGAATGCATAAAATAAATAAGATTATAATGGAAATCAATTAAAATAGAAAGCTACATAAAATTAATATATTACTATATAGTTTAACACACATACACATCTATTTTTTAAGTTCACAGACCCCAGTTTAAGAACTTCTGCTCTATACCTTAAGCTGCTAGTCTGTTCCATTCCTATCATATCTGATTGGTATCAGTGAACTTTTCCCCTCCCTTCACCCCCAGTACCCAACTGTCAGTACCGAGAGCCTGACACTATCTGACTTAACTTGGAATCTTGCACAAAACCCAGCACACTGATGTTTAAAAGTGCTCATTCAGTGACTGTATCTTCTGGCTTTGGCAGTGGGTAAATAAGCCTGGAGCTGGAGATTTCCAACACCAATGGGAGTCGGGGAATGGGGGATGCCCCCTGTCCTGTCCTGTAACTCTCCCATCCTGGGACCCTGAGCCCCACTCCCCCTACCTGCCACAGTGGGTCCTTCTCCTCAGAAAAGATCTGAAAGTACTGTTGAGCCAGCTGGACTGGTGGTAGCGTCTGCAGCTTCAGGTTGGTCCAGGAGTGAAGGAAGCGCACCAAATGTTTGAAGGTATACAATCCCAGACGATCATTTCCATAGTTGGACAGGTGAGTCATGAAGATGCTGATCTAAGTGAAGGCAGCGAAGGAAGGCTGAGCAAACATCTCTCAGCAAGAGGGGCAGGAACTCCCACCACTCCCAACTCAGCTCAAAGTGTGCCAAAGACAAACAATTCACGAGCTGGTTGACAGCGGCGGGAGTCATTTCCCCTCTAATTATAAAATCAGGGTACTGGACTAGATAAGCATTTCCCAAACTATGAAGGGCACCTTGGAGCCAGGCATGGTGGCTCACCCCATAATCCCTGCTACCCAAAAGGCTGAGGCCGATGGTTCTCTTGAGCTGGGGAATTCTGAGGCGTACTGGATGAGGCATCCTTATCAGATGTTCTCATTCAAGCCAGCACTGATGTGGTAGGCCCCTGCAAGAAGGCTGCCAAGAGGCTGACTAAGGAGGAACAAACCAGGCCACGCTGGAAAACAAGCAGGTCTAAGCTCCCATGCCAATCAGAGTGTGATTGTGTCCTGCAGTATAGGGAGGTCCAATTTTTAAAAATTAAAAATAAAAATAACTACTCTTGGGCTTCAAATATATTTATGAAATTCTTAAGTGCTGACCAGGGAAGGGCTGGTAAAAGGAGATATTCCTGGTATGAGGGGAAGAAGGGAGCAGTCAACCAAATTTGGGGGCAAAATAAAGCAACAATTTTTAACATTAAAAAATTTGCCACTTGCAATACTTTGGTATTAAATAATTTCATATTTAATGTTTTACAAGGGGAAATAGTAAAAGTAATGGCAATGATCTCTAATATCCATTCCAACTCTGATGTTCTAGGTTCTGATGTCACTAATAACTTTGAAATTCTATACTCTTGGGGCAGCTAGGTGGCGCAATTAGGGTTAGGGTTAGGGATAGAACATTGGCTCTGGAGTCAGGAGGACCTGAATTCAAATCCAGCCTCAGACATATAACATTCACTAGCTGTGTGACTCTAGGCAAGTCACTTAACCCCAATTGCCTCACAAAAGAAAAAAAAAAAGAAAGAAAGAAATTCTATACTCTTAAGTTTCCCCTATAGCTCTGAAAGTCTATAACTAAAGAACATGGTGCCTCAAAAGAGCCCTAGACATGCTGCCATTGAGTTATACCTTTTACTAATCAGTCAATAAGCACTTATTAAATGACTACTGTGTGCCAGGCACTATAGCAGAAAAGACAAAGCTAATCCCATGAGTAAGACTGCTGGGCAAGAATTACAAAACTATTCCTTCAACCAAAAAATATATGTATAGCTCACATATTTTATATACACACAAATATACATACATATATACACACGCTATGCATACACACATGTATATGCTTATATACATACATATCCGAATCACATACACCCATACTCACATGCATATATGTATAAGTATGTATACAATACACACATGCATTTACATGTGTGTACAATTATACATGCATAAATATATATAATGTGTATGAGTACACACACACACACACACACACTACAGTGAGGGAAGAGAGGAATCCAAGACAGTACGTTTCAACCAAATGTTGAAATGAGTGAAACAGACAGCTGGACAAATTAAATGGGAAGAGGGATCAGCGTGGGATCAGTGTGTGTATATATATGTGTGTGTGCCTGAGCACATATGTTACACACATAAGTTACAGTGTTTCCTAAGGCACGGCTTGAGAGGTACAGTGAATAGAGCCAGCCTTGGCACCTGCAGGTCAAAGTTCCGCCTCTGACACATCCCAGCTGGGCAGCCCTGAGCAAATTCCTTAGCCTCTCAGTGCCCCAGGCAGCTCTCTAAGACTAAGTTACAAAGGAATTGCTGCAGCTCTGCCCTGGGAGAGTGAGATCATAAATTGGGAATTTCCTAGAGTAAACCTATGAAATCTCAGTTCTGGTTGTTTGTTTTTTTAAGGCAAGTATTACTATTATCTATAGTATTTTATATGTTAGGGATGAGGAAATTAGGGACCAGAGAAGTTAACTGGCTAGCCCACCCATTTCTAATACATAGCACCATGTCCATCCTACACGGAAGCCCACAGGGCCCACTTTGCCTTGGCCACAGACACAACCGCGGCTGTCAAGGACCCCGTCATGCTGCAGGAAGGAGGCTGGTACTCACAGGATTGAGCAGCACAGTGAGGAAGAGCTCTCCCCCATTGATGATTTTGTCCAGTTCGCTGGAGCCTCCAGGGTACTCATTGTAGAATATAGTATGGGTGAAGAGACCACAAGTCTGCCGGGGGAGGACCTAGGTGGGAAAAGGGAGGGGAAGAAAAGCTTTTGGCACCTTGTTAGCAAGGGCACAAAAACACCAAGTCTCCAGACTGGGCCACAGAGTACAATCTGTGGTGGAGGGTTTTCCTATAAGCCCATCAAAGCAACCACTTTCCCAATGGGAGTGGACCAAGAATGGGCCTTCTACTGAACTGACTGGGGCATCTCGGCTGGCAGTGCCCAGGGACAAGGTGGCAGAAGCAGCGGATGCCCAGCATAATCCTCTCCAGGGAAGGTCCCCAAGTAGTCAGGACAACCCGGCTCATTACCACTGACAGCTTAGGATAACAGGGAAGAACAAAGCAAAGATGCTGCTGACTCTAGACACATCACCTATCAAAGAGTCCCACCTGCCTCCCTGTGAGGGTCTGACCCCTCCAGCAGCAGAAGGAAGCAGGCAATCCTCATTAACCTACCATGATCCCATTGTGGATGAAGCCACGGCGGTAACGGGCAGGCTTCAGGTGGGGATACTCCTCTGTGCTGGTCACCTGGATGTCCCACACCTGCTTCCAGGCCTCATAAAGCTGCATGTGGACAGGATACACGCCAGAATGGTGGGGAGCCACAGCGTAGCCCATATCGGTAGGGATCCCGTGCTCCTAAAAACAGAAACAGTTCAAGGGAGGACAGTGAGCATATGTCATTGGGAAGGTCCTCTCCCTGAAGGCCTGTTTCCCCCTTTACTGAGGAGCTGACTGAGGCTCTTAGTAGTTACATACCAAGCACAGTGAGGTGACAGGTTTATCCCCCAAATTAAGGAGATAGAACATAGACATAAGCTCACAGAACTAGAGCTAGAAGTAACCTCAAAAGTCATCTAGTCTTTATTTCATAGATGAGGAAACTGAGGTTCAGGGAAGTTAAGTGCCCTGCACAAGGCCACACAGGTAGTAAACATCAGAAGCAGGATTTGAACCCAGGCCCTCTGTCTCTAGAACCAAAGGTCTTTCCAATGTATCTCTCTCTGCCTCTCCTAAGGAATGTTTCTGAGTTGGGGCGAAGTCTTTCCTCAGGTCCTGGAAAACTGGTTTAGCTTAAGGTCTGAAGCAGACATAGCTTCCGGGGTCAAACCCCAGGTCCTGCCTCATATCCAGATTGAGCTCAGCTCCTAATCTCAGGAACCTTATACCAGTCTCATACGAGGCCTCAAGTGCCCTTTCACATCTGCTCCTTCAATCACTTCCTACCAAAAGGTTCCAGTCAAACCCCAGATCAAAGTTCTGATTGTGGCCCTCCAAATTCTTCAAATGGCCACATCACGGTCCTCTCCTCCACTCTGTCCCAACTCAGGGACATCCCATCCAGAGAGCTATCCTTGATATTCTATTTTCCAACCCATCAGTACCCTCCCTAACCCACCTGACTCTATTATGATGCCATTTAAAATATTCTATGTGTCCCATCAGTGATGACTAGCTGAATACCAAACCTCTCTTATTTTTATATTTATTTTTACACACATACACACACACACACACACACACACACACACAGAGCTTAGCCGAGACTAATTGTGGGGTTCACTGTCCATACCCCTGCCCCAGGCTGTGGAGAGGTCCAGATTGCAGACCTTCTGCCATCCTTATTCTCTCCAGCCCAGAGCCTGTTTGTGCTTCTAGGGAACCCCATTCCTGGAGTTCTAAACCACTATTGTCTCCCCTCCTTGTCCAACACTAATCTCAAATAGCTTCCAAAGGAGACTGGAAAGGTTTCTGGCTGCAGCATTCAGCAATAGTGCAAACCCAGGGGATTACTTTAAATTGGTCATCTAAAACTGGAAGCAGGGATAACAGAAGAGCCTGTTTCAATGGATGGCTAATGAGGCAGAAGAGCAAGGGGCCTAAGCAGGGGAGGGGGAGGGACAGCACAATTACCAATCCTTTGCCACCTCTGCCCAGGCTCCCTTGGGCCTGACACTACCAGCCCTCAAGGCTCTCAGTCCAACCAGATATGTATGTGGATCTCTGGACATACAAAGTGACTCAGATCCTGCCACTTAAGTGTGTGGTCAGTGTGGGGCAGACACACAACATGAAAAATTAAAATGCCGCCCCCCCCCCCCGCCCCTCCTCCCCCTCTAGTTACACATAAACCAATAGCAGGAATAATGAAATTCTTTTAGATATTTTGCATATAAACAGTTGTAACTATATTTAATTTGTCTGAACAATCTATTAAGTCTAAAACAAATCTATTTTCTCTACTTTCTCCCTCCCATGAAAATAAAAAGATCAAATTTTGCCCCTTTTCCAAGCTCTACCTCTCCCAGAAGTACCCTGATCCCACATTCTTCTCTCCTTCTATGGAACTCATCCTGCTATCTATTCATTCACCTTAATATCTGCTCACATACTGTCTTGGACTCATCTCCACTGTTAAATGAGTATGCATCTTCCCTCTTCAGCTAAACTTATGAGCAGAGGCTGCATCTCTTTCCTTTGTCTCACCCAGCAAGGCTGAGTATGTGCTCTGAATGGAGTATTTAAGGAGTAGGGTAAGGGCTGGGGCGGGGAGGGCCAGGACACACCCCAACCCAGAGAAGGGGTCTTACTCACGACAGCGAACTTCTTGTTGAGGGCCATCTGCTCAGCCAGTACAGACTGGTTGTGGAAAAGGTGGGGCTGCATGTGACTCCACATGTGTGGAAACCACCAGAACTCCTTCACATAGGACAAGAGCAGGTCGTCACCGTCATCCTCAGCATCTGTACCTGGTGATGTCATGTCATGTCATGTCATGCCCTAGCCAGATTGGCCATGGGGGGAGTATGTGAGACCAACAAAAGCCCAGGAAAGTCAGCCTTAAGATCAAGTTCACAACATGGGAACTGTAGACCATGGACCAAAGTGGGATAGAGAGAAAGGGACAGAGTTGCAAAACCCCATAAATAAGGGAAAAGACTAAATAATATATAGCATGCTATGTGTATTACTATTTTTCAAATAAATAAAGATACAAATTTTAAAAGAGAATTTTTTTTTAAAGGCAGAATCATACCTTTAGAGCTGGAAAGGATCTCACGAGGCTCAAACATGGCCTCAGATATTTACTAGTCAAGTAACCCCTAGGCAAGTAAATCACTTAACCTGTTTGCCTCAGTTTCCTCATCTGTAAAATGGCGATAATAATAGTACCTACCTCCCAGGTTGTTGTAAGGATTAAGCAAGAGAATATCTGTAAAGTGCTTAGCGCAGTGCCTGGCAAGTAGGCACTATATAAATATTAGTTATTATTATTACTACTATATTAGGGAATTGCTCAAGGTCATACAAGTAGCAAATATCAGAGGTAGGATTTGAACCCAGGTCCTCTGACTCCAAAGCAAATATTCTTTCCATTGTACCATGCTGCCTCCTATGTCTCTGCTATTAGAGGTGAAGGATTATCTGAATAACAGAGCTTATGGAACAGAATCTATTTTTAATTACCCATACTAATTCTAAGGGTAGGGAGAAGCTGGAGACGATCCCAAAGCAAAGATAACCCCCAAATCATCCCTATTTGGTTTGGGAATATAGTCTAAGATTCCTTCCCCCTGACAAATTTGCCTTTCTCGTTAGGTTCTATCTGCCCTTGAAATTTCAAAATAGGATTGTCTACCTTCCCTGCCCCTCCCCAACACGAACACATGTAAACACTCCAACTGAGAGCAGGGGATCAGGAAAAACTCCTGACACCTGCTGGAAAAGCAGGGGCCTGGTGTGGGCTGGGGTGCCCAGGAGGGCTGATGCCAAGGTAACAGCACCAGCACCTACTGGCCTAGCTGAGGCACAGATCAATCACCTCTGGTCAGTGCACACAGACAGACAACAGGCACACCAAATGTGAACCACTAACCCCTTCTTCTTGAGATTAAAAATAGGTGAAGAGCAACATCTTTCCCCACCACCTGATTATGGCAAGACTGCCGGAGCAACAGATATACCAAGGGAAGTGGGTTTGCTTTAAGGACCAAAAGAACTAGCTTATCCCCAAGGGACCCACTGTCAAGTCAACTGGGTACTGGGTGGAGTGGGAGAGCACTGTAAGCCAACAGTGAGACATCTCAGGAGGTACTAAAAGAGCCATTGCGTATATTTCACAAGATAAGGGGGAGATCCATCAATCAATCATTGCACTGCTCTTTGCTTTTGATCAAACTACAACTGGAGCGTTGGATTCAGATGCAGGCATCCTATGCTAACACCGACAGCCTGACGTTTATCCAGGAAGCGGACTCACATGGATAGAGGGTTGGAAAAGACATCATCAAAGGAATGGACAGGGATGTTTGGCTGGGAAAACAGGAGACGTGGGGGAGGGAGGAAGATAAGGTCACTACTGCCAAATATCCAAAGGGTTCTCTCCTCTTAGAGGGATTTGATTTTTGAATTTGAATTTTGAATTTTTTAATTACCCCCAGAGGGCAGAACTAGGAATAACATGTGAGAGTTAGAGGGCAGCAGATTTACAGAATCACAGAATTTCAGAGTTGGAAGGGACCTCTCCAACCATCCAATGGAACCCTGACCCATGATGAATCCCCACCACACCATACTAGACCAGCATCTGCCTGAAGACCTCCAAGGACAGAAAGCCCCCTCCCCTCGTGAAGTAGCTCATTCTGCTTCTGGATGGCTCTAATTGTTAGGAGGTTTTCTCCTCTCTTCCAGCTTCTATTTGTCGCTTTACAACTTCCACCCACTGCTCCTGGTTCCAACCTCTGGGATCAAAGGGAACAATTCTAATCCCTATCTTCTACGTGAGGGAGCCCCTCAGATATCTGAAGGCAGCCTTTGAGTCCTGGTTGCCCTTCTCTGTACATTCTCTAACTCAATATAAGAGAAGACTTTCTTAACAATTAGAGCCATCCAACAATGATGCCAAAAGGCTGCCTTGTGAGAAAGTGAGTGAAGTGCCCATAGTTGGAAGTATTCTTGCATAAGCTAGATGACCCTAAAATGATGTTAAAGAGGATATTCCTAAAAAATGAATATTAAAAATTATTTTTACATGTAATTGGGAAAAAATGTAACTTTAAAAAAAGTGGATATTCCTACACTGGAAAGAAGGCTGGATTAAAATGACGAAGGGTCTCTCTGTATCCTATTAGTCTATGACTCTAAGATTCCGTAATTTTATAATAGTCTATCCCCCCTCTTATGTCTCACTCTATCCCTTCAGAAAACCCAATGTCGGACCTCTTCTTCCTCTCCCTCATCCCCAAGTTACTCAATTTCTCCCTCACAGTTCAGGAGGATGCTCATGGCTCTTACAACTGACGCCTACACTGACACTTTCCTTGGGAAGAGAGTGATACCTGTCATCTCTCAAGGCCACCCTTCTCCCTGTGCCTTTCTGTATTCTGTGGCCCAGCATGCATCAGCATCATGTCCTGGAAGAGGCTCCTACACCCAACTTCCCTAGCAAGGTGAGTCCAGTCACCTCTCAGGGGTCTGTTCTAAGCATTACAACTGTCTCCCCTCTAACATCTAACTGGGTCCCAAACGCCAGAGGAGGTCAGCAAAGTAGGCACTGATGAGGTCAAATACATGGCACAGGAACACGTCTAGATATGTGCCGCAGCTCACATGTCAGTGATTATTTCATTACCTGTGTCTCTTGCCAAGTAATCCACAATCAACCTAAAAAGGCAACTCCTACTCAAATAACTGCTGTTGGGGGATCCAGTTCTGTGATTTAATCAGTATAGGAAATTATCTCTACCAACAAAGAGCGGCAGCTGTTTTACAACTTACAGTCAAAAGTTGACATGAGGACTAGGAAGTCAAGTGATCTGTCCTGAGTCTCTTTAAAACCTATTTATCCAAGGTCAGACTTGAACCCAGGTCTGTCTGACTCCAGGGCTTGCCTCTTTTTCTTTTTTAATTTCATTATTTTTAATATTTTATTTTTTCCCAATTATATATAAAAAACTTTTGACATTCATTTTTTTAAATTTTGAGTTCCAAATTCTCTCCCTCCCTCCCCTCTCCCCGAGAAGGTAACAAGCAATTTGATACAGGTTATACACGTGCAATCATCCTGCCCTCTTTTTCTACTACATTTTTTATTCTGGTCCAGATCTCAGATTTCATTCATGTAGGAAATCCCCCCTGAGAAAATGCTCTCTGCCAAAGCAGATCAGCACCTTTTCTGCACCTCAGAGCCTCAGAGCTGCCCAGGGTACTGAGAGTTCAACGATACCGCAGGTCACACAGTCAGTGCGTGTCAGCGGCAGGACTTCATCCAAGTCGTCCCGATTCCCTCTATCCTTTCACTAATAGTCTCATTGACTAAAACCCTTCACAAAGTTTCTGTCCTCCTCCTTAGCTGCTTTCCACCTAACAGATGTCAGTCCCGAGGATAGAAAGGGAGGTTTATCCCCACCTCCAAATCCTTCTTCGGTTGAGGGTTGGGAATGGGGGGGGCGGGGGGAATGAGAAACAATAGATACAGAACACTGTATATAACATCAGGGTTTTTTGCTCTATTGTTTAGTTTTGTGGGATATTTTTTCCCTTTCTTATTCATTATTATTATACCCATATTACTTATTATTTAGTATTACTCTTTATTATAGGGGGGAGGACACAGTGGGAAATCTAGGTATTATAGAAAGATATCAACACAAATCTTTTTGTTTGTTGGAAGTGAGATTTAAAGTGACCTAAGAAGCAGTTCCTCCTAACATGCACACACGCCCACTGGCAAGCAGTTAACAAGACCAGTGCTTCCTCAATCTAAGCAAACACAGTAATTACCATCCAAAGACATCCAAAAGGGAGACAACAGCCCAGGGAAAGCCAAGCCACAAAACTGTACCTTTCTGCAGCCCACATGGCTTGCTGCGTAAAAGCTTGAATGTACAGATCCTTGGAAAGGAAAATCAGGTCCCCGTTTGCTCCCCCCAACAACCGTGAGTAAGCCAGCAGGGCTTCTAACAGGACTCTTGTAGGCCAGAAGCATAAAAAGTCTCTCAATGGAGAATTCCAGATCAGGAGCTTACAATGCTGGAGCTGGGAGGGACCTTAAAAACCACCTGCCTTGAGTCTAATACCTTTATTTCAGAGATGGGGAAACTGAGGCCTAGGGAAGGGAAGTGAATTGCACAAGGTCACACACCATGAGTGAGGGACAGAATCAGGACGAGAATCCACTTGGGCTCTTGGTCAAGTACTCCTGCTCCTCCATCTCAGAGTTCCCACCTGATGAAAATCCACAGGGAGCCTCAATCTCTGTCTCAAGTCCAGAACCACTCTAAAAGGCTGTGTCATCCACATTGGGACCCGCTCGATAGCAATGGGGGCATTGAGAAGCCCACGACTTCCAGGGCTCACAGAATGCAGATTCACGGGGCGGGACATGAGCTCAGCTCAAGAATGAAGCATAAGGCATTGACCTGAGCAGATCTTAGGCCAGTACGGGGATATCCTCCTACCACGCTGAGCTGAAATTAGTGTGGGGGATATAAAGTGCTGGACATGTCTACACCCTACTTCCAACCACTCAGGGACAGTAGGCTAAAGGTACAGGTGAGGGAGGTTCTCATGGGTCAGGTCATTCTAGCATACTTACTTACCTGTGTGGAAGAATTTCCCTGAGTACCCCAGGTTGAAGGTGAAGTTTGGGATGTGTGTGCGCAGTTCATTCTGAGTGTCAAAAAGGGCCTAGGACATAGAAAAGAAGGAAAGGATGAGAGAGTAACTCCTGCCCCCTCACCCAGCTGCTCAATGGTTTCACTCCCACCACCCACTCTTGGTTACAGGCACTCTGTCTCAGACTCTATTACTCCTTCCGTTTTCCAAAGGTGGAGAAAAATGAGGACCCCAAGAGAGAATGGACAATGCACAGAAAGTCAGTAATAGGACCTAGTGTGAAAACCAATTCTCCTAACCCAGCCCCCACTGAGTGATAGCTGCAGGAGGAGTCACAACTTGCATTTGTCACCAGAGGGAAGGGGCTTCAGGCTTGGCAGGAAGGAAGAAGGTAAAACAACTGGGTGTACTTCCTAACAATGTGATGGGGATGCTGTGACATTTCACTGAATCACAGAATTTAAAGATCCCTTAGAGATTCTCTAGTACAAATCCAACCCGTCCTTGCTAGCCAGTTTTGGACTGGGGTAAACCTGAAGCCCCCAAAGAGGAAGTAATTTGTCTAAGGTCACGTAACAAGTTTGTACCAGAGCCAGATCTAGAATCCAGGCTTCCCGACTCCAATGTTCTTTCCAATACCCAACGCACATACAGGGTCTTTCTAGGACTTCTGACTTAAATGCACAAACAATGCGTTGGCCTGGGCCATTCAATAACATGTCTCTCAGGAGTCCTCCCTCACAGGCTCACAATGCAGTGGCTCCTGGTTCAGATGCCAAGGCCCCCATTCATACCTTCACGTCCTCCACCTTCATCCGGGTGCCCTCCTTGCCCACAAAAATGTCATCAATGTCCACCAGGATATAGCGGTCCAGGGGCAACGAAAGGCGCTTGCCAGTGAGGAAAGCGACAGCATCCACAAAGACCAGCTTATGCAGCCAGAAGTTGAGGTTGTTGCCGAAAAGCACCCTCTGGATGCCATCATGGAGCCCCAGGTCCTGCACCACCGTGGTGTGCAAGGCCGCACCAACGCTGAGGTGGGGGATGGACTCTGCCGACTTGGTCTTGGCCAGCAGCACCGGCTCATAGGTGGAATGGTTGGACTGAAAGACGGTCCAGTCGTCCCCAGGCAGCAGGCCCTTCTCTACCTCGCTGGGCCGGGTCACATACAACAGTGGGGACTTGGGGTTGATGCTGCAGTCCTTCAGGCCCAGGTTCGAATGGAGGAAGAGAGGGAAGCCCTTGAGCTGAGCACTCAGCAGACTGTTCTCATTGGCCTGTCGGGAAGGAGAAAATAGTTGAGGGACACAGGAAAGATAACAGAGACTGGCTTATTTACGTGCCTTACACATAACCACGAGGAGTCTGGCAGCAGCCCTGGCAACAGGAACACCTGCACTTGCCGAGAGAGGTCAAGTTCTAAAGATCTATAAAGGTTTTCCTCATAGAAACCTTCCAAGTTAGGTAGCTAGTAAACATCAGAACTAGGACTGGAACCCAGGGCATCCTGACTCCAAGTTCAATGCTTTTTGCACTACACACCACTATGCTTCCAGAGACAGTCAGTCAACAAGCATTTATTAAGCCCTACTCTGTGCCAGACGCCATACTCAGAGCTGGGGAGACGAAGAAAGAAAACAGTCCCTGCCCTCGAGAAGTTTACATCCCAAGGGGGAGAAAACATGTCAATAACTAGGTACACACAAGATATGCACAGAGTAGAAGAAAGGAGATCTCAGAGGGGAAGGCACTAGCAGGTGGGAAAAGCAGGAGGGAGCTCCTGTGGAAGAAAGGATTTGAGTTAAGTCTTGAAGGAAGCCAAGAGGCAGAGGTGAGGAGGGAGGACATTCCAGGCAAAGGCAAATACTGGGGCAAAGGCATCATTTCTGGCAACCCCCTAAACCACCATGCCCTGCACAGCCACCTGGCTTGCCTGGGTCTTGGGATGGCCTTAATAATGGCTGGAATTGATACGGTACCCTGTGATTACAGAGACTCCTCTACCTCACTTCATCTTCACCACAACCCTGTGAGATAGGTAGTCCTTTATCCCCGTTTTATAAAAGATCAAACTGAGGCTCAGAGTGAGAAACTGACTCGTCTGCCTCTGAAGAGCATGGAAATTGCAGTCAGACTGAGATCTCCTAACTCAGCCCAGCGCTTTTTATGCCACATCCCTCTGATATGTTTACACTCCTCACAACAAAACAGAGCTGGGAAAGACGAGGAACATGAGGAGCAGGAATACTGAGACTCAATGTCTATCATTAAGATCTAGCAAGTCCAAGTGCTCAGACGAAGTTGCACAGCTAAGCATTTTTTTATACCTTCTGAACATATGCCTCTGAAGAATCACAGCATGGGACACATATGAGCTCCCAAACACGTACCATCACCCTGTACTACAAGCCAAGTACTTCCATGCTTGTGATGTCCCCTGCAGCCAGGGTCCTCCAAGGTCATTTAGTCCAAACCAGCCAGATAAATGAAACTCATCCAAAACATCCTCAACCAGAAGTCTCTAACTTAACACCTCAAGTTAACAATGAACTTACAACCTCCCAAGACAATTCCTACTTTAGAAACTTCTGTGATCACAGAAACCATTCAAACCATGCAGCATCTAAGGCCTCAAGAATCTAGTGCCAAGCTATATTTTCAATATTATCTCCCAGCTCTCCTCAAAACACACGCTCCGCTGTAGCCATGAAGGTTTACTCACTGACCCAACCACACCTCATCCCCTTGCTCACGTCTACTTGGGTTACTGTTCATGCTATTTCCAGTGGCTAGAGTGCCCGCCCCCTCTTCTCCCCTTTATTCCAAACCTCAAGGTCCAGCTCAAGCCCTATTTCCTCAAGAAAGCCCACCCTGACTATTGCACAAAAACCTCTCCCCTTTCTGCCCTTCTATACAGCACTCAGTCTCCACGCTCCTTTTTATACTTCTCATATACCTCCTGACTTAGTTAGGTGTTTGTATGTGCTATCCCTCCCAATTTGACTGTTGGCTCCTGAAATGGGGGGGAGGGGTTTATATTATATTTTTGGAATCCCACACTGTTTAGAGACAAAAGGAACATAACATACTATAATAAAGAGTCTCAGACAGAATGTCAGGGGACCTGAAGTCTGGACCTGGATCTGTCACTTGACAGGCTATGACAGGCTAGTGTTCCTCTCCCTGTTTCCTCCCCTGTAAAATGTGAGAGTGAGACTAGATAATCTCTAAAGTCCCTCTATGATCTTCAAATCTTCACATTGCCTATAAAAGCCAACATCGAGCTGGAACTTGGGAATTACAGGCACTGGATTCCTTTGGGAACTTATTTTCCTGATCCTTCCACTAGATCAAAGAGTAGCCTAAAGCTCCCAGGGGTGGTCAGCTCCAGCTTTGCTCCACAACCTGTGGTGACATATAGTGACCACCAGTCAACACACTTGAGCAAAATGATACAGCCTGCAGCCCTGACCCACAGCCTGAGAAGGATGAGCTCTGACTCTTTCAGATGACCATTTGAGGTTACCTTTTACCAGCCTAAACCAACTTTCCTAATCTTCCTGTCTCTAGGCTCATTAGGGCTCCCCTGGGAAAGTGAAGTGGCCCTGAGACTTGACCTCTACCAGAAAAACAGTATCATGCTACAGTGGTAAAAACTACTGGGTTCAAAACCCAACTCTCTACCAACTACTACCTGTGTGACCTTGGCAAGTCATTTGCCCTTGATGGGCTTCAGTTTTCTAATCAATAAAATGAGGGGGCGATAGAAAGGGAGAGAGGGAGACAGAGAGAGAGAAAGAGAGAAAGGAGTCAGTAATGGAGGCAGGTACCCTCTAAAACCCCATTCAGCTCTAGAGGCTATGATAAGGGAGATGGGAAACTCTCCTGGCCATAGGGAAACCTGAGCTTTCACTACCCCAGGAACTCCCAGCATTTGCATTTGATGGAACTGTTCACTTCCGGTTAGCAGTTTTGCTCTCTCTCAATTCCCTGGTACAGTCTCACCCCACTCCCACACTCAGAGGGCAGTCTGTAAGCTAATTGCAGAGGATAGCTCAGAGTCCAGGTGGGACAAAAGTCAGACAGTGCAGAGAGCTGAACTTCACTACATTTCACAGCTTTAAATTATTAGATTGTGAACATCTGGGACAAGTTGTCACCCAGCCTCTGCTCAAAAATTTCCACTGATGGAAGCCACTTATCTCTCCTTCCTACTCTCCCCACCCCAAAACAGACCCCTCAGACAGTCTTGATAGTCATAGTATGTTACATGTTTTTCCTTCTTTCAAACTAGAGGTTTCATATTCTCTGCTGTGTTAATACATCTAGGACCATGTTGCCCCTCCAATAGTAACTGCCTTCCTCCTCCCTTGAGATTGCCACGTTTCTCTGTCTATCTTACCCTATAGCCAGATGTTCCCCTACCCTCCTGCACATCTATTCATGGCATTTCCTTAGATAGAAGGGTGTCTCAAAACAATTAATGTAGTAGAGTTTTTCCCCCACACTGGCTTTCCTCCATGTCCAGAATGCTCTTATCCTCATCTCTACTTCCTGGCTTCTCTAGCTTTGCCCAGCTCCCAACTAAAATCATACCTTCTACAGGAAACCTTTCCAGACCTCCCTTAATTCTAGTACCTTCCTTCTGCCCATTTTCTCCCATTTATCCCATCTACAGCTTAGGTGTACATAGCTGTTTGCCTATTGTCTCCCCTATTAGACTATGAACTCCTTGACAGCACTGACTTTGTACCTCCTGTGCTTTAGCACAGTGCCTGGCACATAAGAGATGCTTAATAAATGTTTACTTATGGGCAGCTAGGTGGCACAGCGGATGGAGTACCAGCCCTGGAGTCAGGAGGACCTGAGTCTAAATCCTGCCACAGACACATAACACTCACTAGCTGTGTGACCCTGGGCAAGTCACTTAACCCCATTTGCCTTACCAAAAAAAAAAAAATGTTTACTTACTGTCAACATTAAGACTTCTGGGACACCATGTATAAGCACCCTCTCTCCTCTAGTCCTGCTGACCCACTAACAGAATCACTGGGGGCCATCCCCAGTCATCCTGATCTATATCTCACCACTGGACCCAGATGGCTCAAGAGCAGAAAGTGAGGCTGATGACTTTGCAGAGCCCTCCCTCACTTAAATGCAATTCACTTGCATGCCATGGCATCACCTCCCTGATGTCATGTCCCTCTTCAAGAACAAAGGACAGACAACAACAACAACAGAATCACTAGGACCTGAGCTCGAGGAGGGACAACAAACTCTCTTTCCATACAATAATAACAATAATTACAACTATTTATAAAGTACTTTAAGGCTTGTAAAGCATTTTGTATATTTTATCTCATTTGCTAACTCAGACAAGAGATCTTATTTCCAACAGTTCCACTAGCCTAGCAAAAATTTTTCTTTCCCTAGTGCCTGGCCCCTTTTGGTCCTTTCCTCCTTGTTCCCTCAACAAAATTCTAGATCAGTATTCAAGCTCTAAGGGAAAGAGCACTGGATCAAGAGACACAGGACCAGGATTCACCTGTGTGACCATGAGCAAATCATTTGACCTTACTGAGCCTCAGTTTGTTCATTTGTAAAATGGACAGGTCATGCCCTCTCTAATGGTATAAGCAAACTAACAAAAGCCTATTTTTCAGAGAGCTTAAAGTGCTCGGGCCAACTTTCTATAAAGTTTGTACTCTAAACCCCAATCCCAGAACTTGCTGATTCAATCATCTGCTGAACCTGGAAAAAGCCATTAGAGGCATCCAGCAGTAAATCCTATGATCCTAAGTAGGGCTTAGGCTCCTGAGGCTGGGTCATGGTGGCTTCCTACTTACCGCCCAGTCTGTATCCAAAGATAGCACTCTGATTCCACCCTGAATGGGATGCACGCTTTGAACTGTATCTCTAGCAGATGGCTCGTGTAACTCATAGCAGGTATCTATGAGACAGCTGGCTAAGGCAAATATTCTCCCACTTCCCTAAGCCTTGTGGCAAGGGCCAGGACTAAGATAAACAGCTCAGACCGGCTAGAGAAGAGAAAAATGGTAACTGGTTCAGCCAAGGGCTGACCTATAACACTTTGGTAACTGGTGCACCCCCTCTAGGCACCCAAGACACCAGGCCAAAGACACCAGCACTAACCACCCCCCTTTCCACATCCCTAGCTTGCCCAAGCCTTTCCCTTCCCTTCTCTCACAGGATGTTTCTTCTCCAAACCCAGTTACCTTGAAGAAACCAATGATGCCAACACCGTATTCCACACAGTACTTGTCCAGTAGCTCCCGGTTCCAGGCATCCAGGTTGACATACTTGAGGATGTTCTCATAGATGATGAGCGCAAAGCGACCCCGATCTTTGTCTGTGAGAGTGGGCATGTCCCCCTTCCCGGGGGCAATCTCTGTGCGGTACTTGAACCGGCTAGACTCGAGAATGGCCACAATCTCCTGGCCCAGCTGGGAGTACAGGCTCTCCACAAACACCAGCACAAGGGGATCAGTTCGTGATGACGAGGACACTTTAAGGGTCTTGAGGGGGAGGAGGCGTGATGGAGTGATTTGGGGCTCCTCATTACAGTCAGGCCCAGTGACCTCACCTGAGGGCTCCAGGCTCCTCTTCCAGCCATACAGGTAATAGGCAGAGACAAAAACACTGAGCAGGCAGAAGGCAAACAGCAGGAGCAACACAGTCTGAGGGGACGCCTGCCTGCGAAGCCTCCTTGGGCACAGGGGGATGGTCATCCTGGCTCCTCAATGTTGCTTAGCAATGGCTTCCCCCCACCCCCACCCCCCAATTCTTTTCACAGGAAGAAAAACAGGAATTCAATTCAAAGCAATAAATTAAAAATAATTAATAACAGAAGCTGTTTGTGCACAGGGATGAGTTGGGACTGAGGGTGTCTTTTCTTCCCACCAGGGAGGGTGGTCCATGGACTGAGCTGTTCTCCTTCCTCCTTGCCCTGTTTATGTCACCATGGCAAATCTGCTCCTAGTCCCGGGGCAGAGCAGAATTGGCCCAGGGGCGTCAGTGCCTCCTGGGGAACCTTGGGCAGGGGTAGAGGGACACCCTGATGCAGAGAAGGGCTTTCATGCTGTCCAGGTGGGCCTGCTGCGGCTGTAGAAGCCGACTCTGGAGGGGAAAAAGTAATCAAATTAGTGAGCTGAAACTGAGGCAGCAAAGAAGCAGGTAGACATAGGTCAGGGAGGAAGAAAAAGGGTCATAGTTCACACAGCATTTTAGTTTCTAAAGCAAAGCACTAAGAAAGCAATATAAATGTTATTACCCCTATTTTACAGATGGGGAAATAGACTCAAAGGAAGACGTGAGTTGCCCACAGTCATATACCTGGTGGAAAAAGCATGACCGGAAAAAGGTATTCTCATTCTAAGTCCAGTGAAAATTCCTTGGGGGAATTGTTGACATCTAATACAGTTCTTCTGGGACTCCGATCCCTCCTAGGATATATGCCTGGATCAAGACCAAAAGATCAAAGTTTGGCAAAGAGAACCCTACGGCATGTGCCACCTTGTGAGGCACAAAGGAGGAGACAGATGGAGAGATGGTTATAGGATTCGGAAGTATACATGCAGTTTTGTTGTTGTTTAGTATTTTCTAACTCTTCATAAATCCATTTGGGGTTTTCTTGGCAAAGATACTGAAGTGGTTTGCCATTTCCTTCTCCACCTCGTTTTACAGATGAGGAAACTGAATCAAACAGGATCACACAGCTAGTAAGTGTCTGATGCTACATGTGAACTCAGGAAGATGAGTCGTCCTAACTCCAGGCCTGGCATTCCATCCACTGTGTCACCTAGCTGCCCCATCCATGGGGGCAGAGAAGCAAAATACTACCTTCCCTTTCTCCCCTCTATACCTCATGTTCAGGGCTTCTCCTTTTAAAGGAGCTGAGCTCCAGTGCCACCTAACTTAACAAATGAATGAAAGCACCAGTTCTGCTCCAAGACCCATCCCAATCACACAGCAACCCTACTGAGGAGCTGTTCACTAAAGCTGCCTCTCCTTTCCCAACCTTAAACTGCACAGTCCCTAAAAGCACCATCCAGTTATGTCACTGGCACCTTTCCTCATTAAGTAAAGGGATGGGAAAATGACAGACTCTGGGGCCTGGGACTGACATCCAGATCTATCTCCAAAAACGCCCTGCCCTCCCCAGAGGGAAAGGTGGTTTTTTTGGTTTGTTTGTCCTGGTTAAGTGGGAAGACTATGTCTCTTTTCCAAATGGGCACAGTATCACTTTGGTCCAACTCTGGCTCCCACCAGAGACCAACTTTTCTTGAAGGACTGAATCTTTCTGGGGCTTAATCAGCAACCTTACTTGCAACCTGTAAGAGACTATAAAAAGAATGTTATACTATATTACATGGTATGAGGCATCAGAGGGACCCTCCCATTTCCCTCCAGGCTATTCTCAACCCCAGAGAAGGGGAGTAGGGTTCACAGCATTCGAAGCTGGGAAAGCTCAAATAGTTAAACCCCTCAATGGAAAAGGATACTGCCAGCCACAGAAGTCAAATATTTGTCCCAGGTCACACAGCTCAAGCAAAAGAAACAATATTCAGAACCCAGGCCATCTGAAACTCCTACATCATGTTGCCCCTTACACTATGCTATGAAGAACTTGGAAGGATCATCAAAGATCATCAAGATCATCTGTCTCCACCTGGAGAGAAGAAGGTTGGTGGGATCAATTCCCACCAACCTTCTTCTCTCCAGGTGGAGACAGAACATCTTCCAGGACACTTGGCAGATACCAAAGGGAACATAATCACTGCAACTCACATTTTTATGATGCTTTAAGGATAATGAAGTACGTTCCCTACAGTAATCAATTAACAACATTTATTAAGTGCTTACTGAGGAAGCTAAGAGGTGCAGTAAATAGCATCACCCAGGACTGGTAGAGTCTGAGTTCAAATCCTTCCTTGGACAATTTCTAGCTATGTGATCCTGGTCAAGTCATTTCACCTAGGTTTGCCTCAATTTCCTCATCTGTAAAATTTGAGACACACACATATAAACACTCAAGCAAGCTCACACTCACACTCTCACAGAGCTTTGTTGGCAGTTAAATGAGATAACAAAGGTATCTTTAAAAAGTACTTATATACACACCGCTGTTATTACTATGGGCCAAGTAATGCACAATTATTACTATGTGTCAAGCCTGAGGGAAATCAAAGACACAAGTGAAACAACTTATATTCTAATGACACAAGCCTAAAGGTAACTACCCCTAGGTAGGGGTTGGGAGAGTTTAAATGACTCATACTTGACTCATACACTTTTGTCAGAGCCTGGATTTAAACCCAAGTCTCTCTACTCTACATCTAGCATTCTTTCTCCTTCCTGTAAGTTGGGGGTGAGGAGGGAATGGGGGAGCTAAAGCATGTACTCTTCCTACATGTTCTGAGAGGCTAGCTTCCAGGCTTCCATCACTCAACAGGCAGCTATTTCTCTGGTGGGACATGGTCAAGCCTCACATTTCCAATAAGTACTGGCCACAAGCTTCATATGCAGTTTGCCAGCCAGCCAGGGTCAGTGGCCATCAGGGCTAGCTAGGGCTTGTTCCCCAACAGCACCAGACTTCTGCTGCTCTTCTACCCAGGCTGTCCACTAAAGTTCTTTAGGCCAACTCCTAGGTCATGCTCCTTTGCCTCCTGGGAATTCATCCCCAGGACCCTGGTTATCCATCCCAGTCACTGAAAGAGGGAGCTCCAAAAGTCTGCAAGAGCTTTAGAGGTGTAGGAAGGGCTGTAAATAAGGAGGTATCGGACTTCTGCAAAGTACCTGGCTTGTAGCAGGTGCTTAATAAATGCTTAATGACTGACTGACTAATTCATAGCAGAGATGGGACTAGAATCCAAGTCTCACAATTTCCAATTCATATCTTTCCATTAACACTACACTGCCTCACAACCCTTCCCCAGCAAAGAAGATTAATGTCATCCACCTTCTCAGAATAAAACTAATTGATTACTTTTCCTGCCTAATCCTGTCAGTCCTATCCAGGTTAATTGCATGTGGGAGGGAGGGGCAGGGCCATCAATGATACAGAAGATGCCAGATTTTCCCTTACTCATCAGGAGGGAGGTTAAGGGAAAAGCATTTTAGTAAAGCCAAGCCTGGAATGGGGATGGAAGCAGGCGAACACAGTTGTTTTGTAAACAAAACCTTGACCACCCAGGAAGGCAGGATTCTTTCCAGTTCCAGCCTCCCTCCCCCTCACACACACAAATCCCACACTAAATGGCTTGCTCCCAATAGAGGGCTGGGCAGGGTGCCTGCCTCGAACACACCCACCTATCAAAGGCACTGTGGTATGGGGGGCTAAATCACTAACTAGAAAATCAGGGCGTTTTAATACCTTGACACTTGCCTCCTTGAGACAGCTGGGGTTATAAGGGCTTTACCCTTAAGTGCCTCAGTCTACCCCAAAGGTAGCCTCAGAGCTAGGCTGCATAAGGAAGAAAGAATATAGCTATACAAGAGCCTGGAGGGCACTGCGAGATCTCTCTCAGTATGAAATACCAACCACATCAACCACCAGTCCCCAGGCAAAGCCAGGGGAAGATAAAATGGGTAACCAGCCTTCAGTAGACAGCCTGATTGCTCTGTTCTCTGCCCCCAGACCCTAATCTACCCAACAAGGTGCTGGCAATAATGAATAAAATGCTCCTGTGTCCATGGAGACACCATGGCAACCCTGAAAATTCGGGAAGTAGCCCAGTAACCAGGGCAGTCAGAATACCTTTCCTCCCTAGGCAAAACCAAAACAAAACAAAACAACAACAACAACAATAAAAACAACTTAGCCCTATCTTGACCCCTTCCTAAAATGTACTCAAAAACCCTTTGCTTTGGGGGTGAGGAGGAAAGGGAAGACAAAACTGATGAGGTCAAGCGATCTGGGACAAGTATCATTAACCTGAGGGTCCTCCACCCATCACCTGTACCCAGGAACAAGTGGGAATGGGGCAGTGGACAATCCCCAAAGACACCGTGTCTGTCTCTGTCTCTGTCACACACACACACACACACACACACACACACTCACGCGCGCCTAGATAGGAGATCCCTCCATACTCAGGCCTGGATCAAGTCAGGCAGGGCTCAGGGCAAGGAGAAAGGGGGAAATGAGGCAAACATTTCCTGAAAAGTGAAATTACTCATCCTAAACTAGCCTCCAAAGGAGAGTAGAAGAAAGCTCAGAGCTAAGAAGAATCTGTTGGACAATGAAGGGAGGGGTGGGGACCAGGGTCCTCAGTAAGAAAGCCTTCAGAGTTGGGACTGCCACTTACTGGTCCTCCTCTCCCCACCAGCAATTCTCATTTTCCCCATCTGGAAAACGAGGGAGTTTTAACCAGATAATGTCTAATGTTCTTTCCAGCCTAAAATCCTATGACTTGTCACTGCTACAGACCTCCGAAGATCCACTCAAGGTCCCATAAATATTTCCCTTATCTACTCACTGTTTCAAACTCAAATTTCACCCTCCCAGGAAAACCAGGAAAAAAGCAGGCTTCCACACCACATGGAGAGAGCCTCCCTCCACTTCTAGGCATTGGGCACATTTCCTAAGGAACCAGGTGAAAAGGTGGTCCAAACAGGCCTCACAGAAGATCTATTTGGCTACAAACTGAGAAAGGACAACCAGGGTTTTAGTGTCGATGCCTGGAGATGCAAAGCAAGGAGACAGCCACTGGTGAAGAGAGATTACACATTAAGCTTTAATTATCACCACAGCCAGCAGCATGAGGGAGAAAAACAAACAGATACACACACATATACAGAACTACAGCCTAGGCCTCTATGGGCCTGAGGACACACTCTGCCTCACACACTCCCATCATCCCACCTACACAGAACTAGAATCACAGAATGTTAGACCTTAAAGATTATTCAGTCAACCTCAATACTTCCCCAGATAAGGGGACCATCCTCTCCAGTATAGACCACATCCCATTTAGATCCTCCTCCTTTCTCTATTTCTTGCCCACACTCTTCGGTAAATCCTCCACAAAGAGAACCCATCAAACGCAATGACAAGCTTTTCCTGGTTATTTTAATAAGCTGTAGATGCAGCTCTGGCTTTGCTATTCCTTGCTTTTGTTACACAACCGGTTCACCCACTTTTGGATTATAAACATCCTTAATGATATATATGCAACCAACCTACTCATGATGAAAGAGTGCTATTGGGAGACCTAACCATGACTGACACTACCGGTGTGACCCTGGGCAAGTCACTTAACTGCCTTTCGTCTCAACTTCCTCAATTATAAATGGACTGGACAGCCTCTGGAGCTCCTTCCTGCTCTGGCTTCTATGATCCTTCGTATCTTTTAAAGCGAGGTTCACAGAGAAGCGACTTTCCCCAAGGTCTATGTCCTAGACTCTGTTTCATATTCAGGATGAGCTGTGAACGTACATCCCTGAGAGGAATAGAGAAATCCATCCACACTGCAGCCAGAACTGTGGTCCAACAGACCCTGTTGCTTCAGGACTTGGGGAGACGGGATGGGAAGGAAGAACTGAGCAGGAGGAATAAAACTTGCCCCCAGCCCCACAAGCACTTTACCTTCCCTAAAATAACTTTTGCCAACTGTGACAAGGGGTTTTCCAGGACCCCAAAGACCATAAAAGAAGTAAGCAGCACTGCATTTTTAATAGTCTTGTGATTTCCCCAGAGCCAAAGACGCAGACACAAACTCAAAGAGCATTAAATCGAAATCTGTCACGTTGTGGTGCTTTCTGCTGCCACCTCAAACGGGGCTGACATCCTTCACTGCCCCTCTGTATGCCCTAGGAGCCTGGAAACACCCCCAACTGTAGTGCACGCCCTCCAATTCTTATCGGGCCCCATCTTAGAAAAAGCCAAGTATCTTGGTGAAGATTAAGTCTTCCTATGGATGCTATTCATTAATGAACTCCATGGAAGAATATAAGTACACTGGACTGAGAAGCCAGAAGACCTGAATTCTGAGACTGGCTGTTACTCACTGTGTGACCTGGGGAAAGTCACTCTTCCCCCTCCCCAAAGCTTCCCCATCTATAAAATAATGATCGAAAGTCCCTTTCGAGCTCTAAAACATAAAATTCATCAATACGAAAATGCTTGACCATGCATATTTGTTACAAGATTTTTGTAATCCTGGGGCACCTAAGTGGTGCAGCAGATAGAGTTCCAGGACCACAGTCCAGAAGACCTAAGTTCAAATCCACTCTCAGATACTTAATAGCTCTGTGGGTGTGACCTCAGGCAAGTTACTTAAATTCTGTTTGCCTCAGTTTCCTCATCCGTAAATGGAGATAATAATAATAGTACCTGCCTCCCAGTGTGGTCGTAAGGATCAAATGAGGTGATACTTGCAAAGCATCTAGCACAGTACCTGGCACACAGCAAGTGCTTTATAAATGTTAGCTATTATTATCATTCTTTTTCCCCCCAGTGAGTAAAGTAGGAGAAAGAAAAAAATACTTGGTAAATTAAAAAAAAAAAAGATTCAATCTTATAAGTCAATTAATGATGAAACCAGTAAAATATTCATATACACTCTCAGATTTGAAGGGAACAAAGGAACACACAGTCAGTTGGTATCAGAGCTGAGATGTGAACTCAAGATTCCCTGACTTCAGATCAAGGGCTCTTTCCATCATTCTGTCTCTGCAACATCCCAGAAGACTATTCATCTGGTTTTTAGGGTTAAAGCCCTCTAATGATGAGAACCTTGATTCTTCCTAAGGCAGTTCATTCCACATTTGGGCAGCTCTCTTAAGTTTTTCCTTACACTGAGCTGAAATGTATCCCTGCATTTCTACCCATTACTTTAAGTTCTGTTTTCTGGGATCAAAGGAAACATATCTCATCCTTCTTCCATCCAAAATACTATCCAATGGTAGAAGACATTTCCCCAGGCTTCTCTTTTCCAGGATAAACACCTTTCATTCCTTCCTTAATCCAGTCATTCTACAGCACGGTCAGTAACCTCACTCACCAGACTTCTTTTTTACCTGTCCTTCCTCACGAGTGGCTCCTAGAACTTGGGTCTCACCAAGGAGGAGCACAGCAAGACAATAACTTTCCTGGTTCTGGACATTCGGGCAACTACTAACACAGCCTGCAGGCTTGTGAGCTTTTCTGGGTATTAAGTTACATTGTTGACTCACGTTGCGCTTGCAACCCACAAATCTTTGTCAAAGAGGCTGCAACCTAGACACCTATTCCCCAATCTTATAGCAAAGAGTTGATTTTTTTGAACCCAAGTATGGGACTTTCTATTTGTCTCCATCAAATTTCATCAAATAAGAGGAATACTATCTAATCATATATAATAAGATTTGGCCCCTTGCTTTGGCCAAGATCTTTTTATATTCCAATTCTCTATCCAATATACTAGCCATCCCATTATATCACTGTTTCACTTACAGATTTTGTAGCATTATGCTTTCCTCAAAAACACTAACAAAAACAAGGCCAGACCTCTGTTTATAGGTCACTACAGACCTTCTACTAGGTTGACATTGATCCATTAATCACAATTCCTTGAATCTAGTTATTCTCAACAAATTCTCAGTCTACCTAATGGTATAAATGTCTGTCTACAACTCTACATTTTGGCTTATAATGATATCATGATAGCTTTCATCAAATGCCTTGTTAAATTCAAATATAGTATGTCTATAATATGACTGTGGGCAAGTCACGGGTGGGAATTAGAGATGGACTTTTCTGGTCTCCCAAGTTATTTAGATGGTGAACTAGAGACTGAAAGAGGATGGGAGCCTAGGACAGCTGTGATAAGTCTTAGGACAATGAGAACGAAATAGAAAAAGACTCTTTGTCCTTTGCTTCAGAGGGAAAGCAGGTGCTGTTTCCCCCTCCCTTTCTCCCCTCTTGTTTGTCTTGTTTAAGTGGGAAGGGGATACTAAACTCAAGATCATCACACCTACCATGCATTGCTCCTCATACCTGGACAAGTGTCTTGGAACTTCATTAAGATGCTTAAAGGGGTGCTGAGAAGATAAAAGCCACTGGTCAGTTCATCCTTCCTCCCAGGCTAAGAGCACGACTGTTTGTGCCTCGGTTCCATTCCTCAGAATTCCACCTGTTGGCTTTACCTTCTGCTCTGGTTTTACCTTCAGCCTCAGCAGGTGACTCCTGCAAACTGATAAAGCAGAAAAAAAAATCAAGGAGAAACCTTAGTTATCATATAGTCCATCACCTTTTATAGAGAAGACCAAGGATCAATGTGGGAAAGTGACTTACTCTAAATCACATAGGATTCCATGGAAGAGCTGGGACTAGAACCCAGATCCCGACTCTCGGTATAAGAGCTGGTTTGTCAAGTAGTTGGGCTTCCAGGAGAGAGAATAGGGCCCCTTTATAAATCAGGGGAACTCCCAGGGAAGGAAAGGCTGGGAGACAGTCATGTGTTAGCAAAACAGGCTTCTTGCCTGCTGCTTGGTGTGTGTTGTGGGGGGAGCTTTTTCCAGAGGGATTGATAAACATCTTTGTCCCTCCAACAGGCTGCAGATACTTTTGCATTGTTCCAACAAAAACGAGCAGGACAAGGAAGGGCCTGTTAAACCATGAGATTAAACAAATCGAGTAGCAGAATAGCTAGGGTCCAATTTCCATCACCAAGGCCAGCTAATAAGTTATCTAAGACAACTGCCAAAGAGGCTTAGAGGCAGAGTTGGGGGGGTCTCTACTGCCTGAGAGAGAATGAAACAGAAAAATCTTCCTCCAGTTACTGCCAGGTCAGGATCAGCTGGTTACATAACCCAGGCTTCCATGACAAAGTTATTTGCAAAGCAGTACCAGGAAGGGACTGCACTCAGGCCCTTAAAAATCATGTGGCTCCCTCCCTTCCCTATCACATCTTCCCCTACCCCCAAGATTCACCAAAAACCAACAGAGAGCTATGAGCTACACAGGCCTCTAAGACATGAAATGTTCTGCAGAGTTCCACATATCTTAGAACACAGACTATCCTAATTCAAAGGACAGCCAGAGAACATAGAGTGACAGGGCACAAATGGGATAACAGGGAACATCTAGTTCAACTTCCTTACTGTACAGGAAAGGAAACTGAGGCCCAAAGGAAGGAAGTGACTTGCTTGGAATCACAGAGCAATTTAACACCAGAGTCAAGATTCAAACCCAGATCTCCAGCTACCCACAGTAAGACTGCTGCTCTTTATAATAATCCTGATGCTTCTTCCTCCTCAAGTGTGATAGTAAGCCCAGGCTTGCTCCCCAAAACTGGTATGGAAATTCAGAAATATCCAATGGCCTCCAATTCCCAGGGGAATCTGAGGAGGGGAGGTGAGGCAGGGAAAAGACAATCAGAAGACAGCTGGGTGATTCTGGAAAGCATAAAGGTGGGGCAGCTAGGTGACACAGTGGAGAGAGCTCTGGGCCTGGAGTCAGGAAGACTCACCTTTCTGACTTAAACTAGCTGTGTGACTCTGGCCAAATCACTTAACCCTTTTTGCCTCAGTTTCCTCATCTGTCATAGGAGGTGGAGAAGGAAATGGCAAACCACTTCAGTATCTCTGCCAAAAAAATACCAAATGGGATCACAAAGTGTTGGACAGGACTGAAAAACAACTGAACAACAACAAAGGTAGGCAGGAATTCTGCTGGGTTTCTTGGGCTACATCTTACTTGTGCACACTAATTTATGATTTGGTACTGATTTATTCTCTTCAGATCCTTCTAGACTGAGAGTGGGGGAGGGCAGAGACACCTAGAGAATAATGGAATTCATGACAGACAATAGCCCTGTTGCTCCAGCTCTCCAAGTCCACTGGATGTGACTCAGAGCTCCCAGCTGCCCTGGAAATGACACGCAGTATATCTGAAGCCTCAGCATCTAGGGTCAGGAAGGTAAAGGACTGCCACAAGGACAAACAAATAGATTTTTGGCCCTTCCCTCACAAATTGCTCTCATATGAGTTTAAAAAAAAAATCACTGGAACCAACCTCGAATCCTAACAGGTAGGTCCGCTGCCAACTCAATGTGGGGAGTCAGAGTGGCTAGAAGTTTCCACCGGGCAGTGTGTCTCATTTCTGTCCCTGCCTTTTTTCTATTCCTACCACCTCTCCCCTAAATTAAGGTCTGATTACCTGGACTAATATTGCGACTGGTCTCCTGGACTCCAGGCTTCACCCAGTATGCTTTTCCACACTAACCTACTCAATTGTCAGATACATCTTGGTAACCTAGAGTTTTGATCCCGCTGTTCCCCTGTTCAAACACCGTCAGTGACTCTATGGATGGCTTATTGAATCAAATCCAAACTCCTTCACCTGACATTCAAGCCCTGTATCTTATCTTTCCAGCCTTATTTCATGATATTCCCTAACACCTACCCTGCCCCAGCCAAAGTGGATTGAATACCACTGGCCTCTATAAACGTCTGTGTGATTTGGTTCACACAAGCCCCTCAACCTGGAATGCTTTCTACCTCTAAATCTACCTATTGAAATCCTACCCATTCTTCACCAGCTCAAATGCCACCTCCACTCCAGGAAGCCTTCCTTGATCCTTATAGGCAGAGACAATCTTCCAATCTATCACAGAATTTTGTAATTCTGAGGCATTTATCCTGCTCTGTTTACCACTGGAGTTATTTAAGTTCACAGAATTTCCCCTGCAAGATATAAAGCCCATGAGAGCAGAGATTGTCTCGTTCATTTTTCACTCTCCCTGGGGCAGGAGTAAGGTACCCTGAAAAAGAAATTGGTATTGAAGCCAGAGAGGTTCAGATCCTCCCTCTGCCACTTAATACTTACATGCCTTGGGCAAAACACTGAATCTCTCTGGGCCTCAGTTTCCTCATGTGTAAAATGAGAGGTTTGGCCTCCGAACTTCTTCCAGCTCTATCTAGACCTATGACCTATGACTCTAGGACATAACACAATGACCTCATACACTTAAGAAATAGCTGCTGAATTTAATAGAACACCAAAAACACTCTGGCTACTTTCTCTAGTCAGTCAGTCAATCAATTAAACCAGGCACTATGCTAAGCACTGGGAATGAAGGATGAAGCTGAAACTACCTTCCTTCAAAGCCTTTACATCCTATCAGGGCAGACAACGTGTACATAACTTCATACAAAATAAATGCAAGTTGGGGGAGAAATACCTGAAACTTGGGAGGAGGTGGGAGAGAAATCAGGAAAGGACTCATGTAGAAGACTAATTGATAGTATAGTGGATAGAGTGCTGGACTTGGAGTCAGGAAGACTTGAATTCAAATCCCACCTCAGACATTTAACAAGTGATATGATTCTAGGTAAATCACTTAACTTTGCTCAGTATCAATTTCCCCATCTATAAAACAGGGAGAATAATAGCACCTACCTCAAAGTATTGTTGTGAGGATCAACTAAGATAACCTATGTAAAAAGTGCTTTGCAAAACTTGAAGCACTTTGTCAGTGCCAGCAAGTATAATGACTATTATTAGAAGGTGGTGCCCGAGTGGAACCATGGCAGGTGGATTTCATTCTCAACAAAACCAAAAAATGGCTTAACAAATTATGATACACAAATGTAAATGGAATATTACTATGCTGTAAGAAATGATGTGTGTTTGATGAATACACAAGGGATCTATATGAACCGATGCAAACAGAAGTCGGCAAAGCCAAGAAACAATAAATGCAGTAACTACAATGTTAAGTGGAAAGAATGACACATCAGTAAATCAAAAGTAAATGTAACAAAATTATAAAGATAAATCAAGCCTCAAACAAAGAGATGAGCAGATATCCCCAACCTACCCTTTCTTGGAGGTGGGAGGTCTACAGGTGTAATTCGCTGCACATTTTCAAACTTTTTTATTGATCAATTGTGCTAATTTTTTTCCTCTTTAAAATACACTATTTTTTATATGGGATGGCTCTCTGGGAGATGCAGGGAGAAGGACACTTAGGAAAATGATGATGTAAGAAACAGAAGACATTAATAAAAACTTAGTTTAAAAAAAAAAGAAGGCACCAGGTAACGAACTATGGCAAGATGACACGGAATGTTTAGGCAGCAGGGTAAGGCTGAGAACACATGGCTCATATCCTTAACCTGACACCTCCAAGAAGGCCTCAGTCACCCATCTAAGTGGGAGCTGGGAAGGGAGTGGCGATGAAGACCTGGAGAACCCAGCACTTAAAAGTGCTTTCTCTCCAGTCACCTGGAGAATTCCCCCCCCAAAAAATCTCTAACTCCTAGGCATGCCTACCACTGAGCTCTCTCCTCTTGTTCTCTATCTTCCAAGTGTTCTCTATTTTTAAAAATGAGTTTTTATTGATGTATTTTGGGGTTTTTTTACATCACTCCAGTTTTCTCTTGCAATTTCTCCCCTTCGCCTTCCCCTTCCCCTTCCCAGAGAGTCATCCCATAACAAATAGTATTTTTTAATACAAGGAGGGGGGGAAATCTACATGATTGATCATAACATCAAAAGAGTCTGAAAATAAATGCACTGCACAATGTTTGTGAACCCTCCACCTCTGCAAAAGGGTGAGAGGCACAATTTATCTCATCTTCTGAGCCAGGCCTGTTCTTCACAATTTCTTTCAAGCCTTTTCTAACGGCCTCTCCATTCAATTTAAAAATAAGGTTCCAGGGATATAAACACAAATGAGAAACAACACCTGCCCTCAAGAAGCTTATTGGAGGGGGGGCAGTGTACAACATGCAAACAAATAAATACAAAGTATATATAAAATAAAGTGTTAATTTCAAGAGATTTTTAATAACTGGGGGAGTGTGATGCGAAGAAGTCTAGGAGATGGCACACTACTGTAAGACTCATCGTCTCTAAAATACTTCCCCATAGCTCCTCACACGTGCATCTTACCGAACTAATTTAATGGGGAAGGGGGTAAAAAAAAAACAAACACTGGGATATGTGCGTTCTTTTCCTAACTCCCCCCCATGTAACCTTGAGTAAATCACTTCTCCTTAAATCACTCCTCTTGTGCCTCAGTTTCCCTATTTGTAAAATGGAGGGGTTTGGATTTAGATGATCTCTAAGGTCTTGTCCACTTCTGCCACACTCTGATCTCAGACTTCTTGACTGTAAAAGTAGGCAGAGATGCCTTGAGCTTTCCCCAGCCTACTAATTCCCCTCCCAACGGCTGCAGATTGAGCA